ATTTATTTATTTATCTATCTATATATATATATACTTTCACCGCCTTGTCTTTCTCGCCCGCTTTAATGTTGCCGTTCGGCACATTTCCTCCTTTGTTTCACTTGCGCTTAGTATTGCCTTCAATTCTCGCTTTGCTGTTGCTGCTGCTGCTTCTTCAGAAGTTTGTCCGAGAGGGCCTCCAACTCGGCGTCCGTCTCCTCCCAGCCCGGGATGATGAGCTTGGCGTTGTCGAGTTTCGGCATCTTTGTTAGGGGGTTGTTGCAGAGGTCAATCGTCTTGGCCCGCGCCTTGCTCTCTGCCCCACACCACGTCTCGCACCAGAGCCACTCCTCGGGGAGGGAGTAAATCGGCACCTCGTCCTGCATAAAGTTGGGAAGGTCCTGGTCCAGGTTCGCCAGGCTGTTGGGGTCGGGGCTCAGCTGGCTGTACATCATGCGGTACTTGTCGCCACCCGCCATCGCCCGCAGCCGGCGCAGGTCAACGAGGTAGATGGCACTGATGTGGTACGGCCGCCCACGCAGGTGCTGCGCCCAAAATCCCTGATCCCAGAAGCGGAAGTTTTTAGTGGCCAGGTTCGGGTATTTTCTACAGAACGGTGTATACGCCGTCGGGGCACCGCCAATGTTCATGTTGTAGAGTTCGTGCAGATCTGCCTGAACGGTTTGGTCGGCGTCGACGAAAATGACACGCTCGACGTCAAGTGGGAACAAGACATCAAGAAAGAGAACCTTGTAGGCCCAAATGGTGCGCTGCTTCTCAGTCTGTTTGTGGAGCCACCATGGCCAGCGATACGTCACGAGGGCCACGTCAAAGCCATAGTGACTCGCCAACAAGGGGATAAGCGCCTTGAATTGAGGCGAGAGAAAATTTTCAATAAGCCAGAACTTAATCCGAGTTGTATTCGCACCATGCACATCGGAGGAGGTCCGCATAACGCTATGGATCATCATGCGCAAGAAGCGTTCATAAAGGTGCCCAGAGGCCACAGAGAAGATGTTAAGCGTTGGGGACCTCGGCTTCGTCGTGCGTGGACCGGCCGGTGGCCAGTCGGCGCGCTCAGGATACGCCGCTTCAATATCGCTCATCGTCATTCTCTCGCGGCCTGGCGTTTTGGATATATCAAGCGTCAATGCTTTTCCAATGAATGAGGAAATCACGACGGGAATGTTCTGCCCTGCCGTGTAATTAAACCCAGAGATGCGTTTTTTGTTTCCTGCGTCATTGAGGGGGATGTGGTTGACCTGAGATATGTAGAAGGTCTCCGCGAAGCCGCCCGGCTGCACCGTGAGATACCACACACCGGGGCTGCTCTGCAGCTGGAAGTAGCCCAGAATGGCCATGACAATGGTGTCGCGGGTGAGAGCAGCGGCGGGGTTCGTCCTTGTGGAGCGTATCATCAGGGGCAAGCCGCTTGCGGGAACCGGTCGTCCGGCCTCCCTTGCACTCCCGGTGAGGAGAATCGAGTTGATGCCGTAGGTGGCATGCGCGTACTGCGAGGAGGAGGGCAGCTGGTCAAGGATAAGGTTGTCCAGGTCGTACTTGGCGTCCAGCGGGAACACCGTCCAGCTCTCCGGCTCCTCGATGCCAAGCGTCAACAGATGCCGCGACGGCAGCCGGTGAAACACCGCAGCCGGCGGCAGTACTCCTCCCACCGCGTCAAATCGCATCTCCAGCTCACTAACAAACAGGTAAAAATTCCGCATGGGTTTAGCCAACTGTTGTGGTGTGCCCATGTGTACGATGCAGGAGACGCCAAGCGGCAGCCGTGTGACGTAATCGCACAGTGAGACCAGGAGCTGGGAGTGCCGCGCCACGGGATCAACAACCATCGTCAACGTGTGGTGTGGCTCTGCGCCAGCGTTCACGGGCTGCACAACAAACGAGGCCAGGCCGGACGTGGAGGGCAAGTGGCGTTCCTCCTCCATCGGGGAACCACGAGCGGCGTCGCGCCTCCACAGTTCCGTAAGCGCAGCCACTTTAGAGGCATAGAAGCGGCTGTCAAGCTCACCTTGCTGCAGCTCATCGCTTAGCCTAGTGAAGCTCACTTCACTGAGTGCCTCTGACACAGCCTCCGCCAGGGAAAGCTCCTGTTGGTCCGCATCCTTTAAATCCTCCGCTGAAAGGTCGTCGTTATACACTAAGCGGCGTCCATTGACGTAGTAGTACACTGACCCCTCGTTCTTTTGCCTTTCCCTCGCCGCCGCCGCATCTGCCAATGACAACTCCGCAAACGAGGACTCCGCCCCCACCTGCGCACAAAAGCCACGCAAGAGCCCACGCTGCGTTTGCAACTGGGCATCCAAACCCGCATCCGAGGCGTCTAGGAGGCTTTGGAGCTCAGGGGAGAACTTCATGCTAGCAAACCAACTCTCATACACCTTGGGGTCATCCAGCTCTCTTGTTTTGTTTTGTGCGGCAATTTTTAGCAGAAACTCATGCACCAATTGAAGTCGTTGCTGGTTTCCGTCTTCCCCTTCCTTGCGCCTCAGCAGCAGTCGCTCCAAATCTCCAGCAAGTGTGTGGTAGTTGACCTCCGTCGCCGCCCCGCAAATGGCATACGTGAGGCGGACATGAATGCATTTCTCCGTTGCATTCACACACTGCAAGAGGTTCCCGGTGGCCTTCAGAAGGGCGCCAAGGGCGGTGGCTCCCATGGGAGACTGGATGGCCAAGACACTAGTCACCAGCGGTGTCCCCTCTGTCCTCTTCGTGGGGTGCAGAAAAGGTCGGTGATGCAGAAAGTCCAGGATGGGCTTTGGTGTCCAGTCCATGTATGCCTCGTCTTTGTAAAGGGCGGCGTTGTAGCGCTCCCGGGCCCCGCTCAAACGAAGAATGGATTCGTAGAAATCGACTTTGTCATCGTCGGTCAAATCGCCTCTTACCACCAGCCCACGAACGTGCATTAATTCTATCATGAACCCCTGACGAAGGGCTTGCAACACGTTTTCCTGAAAAACATTTCCATTAATGAGGGTGAGGGGGAACTTGCCGAGCATTAGCTGACGCAGCTTTGCCTGTGTCGTTTGATAATATTCCACAAAAAGTGGGTCCGCAAGCACCTCCCTCACGTCGCGTTTCCCTGACAGAGTGAGAACATTCGCCGAGAAGCCCACCACGCCATCCTCGCTGAGGCCACCAAGCGCTTCCAAGGTATACACCACCTCTGAAAGGAACTCCAGTACCTCCTGCAGACGCTCTTCCCCGTTCAGGAGTTCCCACACAGTGGCGGTAATAATTGCGGTGACGCTTGAAAGCGACGGCTTCAAGCGAATATCATCCACTTCTGTGGAGACTGAAATTTCCGGCGACCACTCCCGATCCGCAAAGACAATTCCAAACCGAATAGGTTGGTTGGATTGATCTAGTTTCAAGATGACGCCAATGTCCTGCACGCCCTCTAGCGTTGTGGGGTCCACGACAGAAACGGCATGAACGAGATTTTTCCGCGGGATCACGGGGACACCGTTGGGCCGTGTGGTAAGGATGGCGCGGAGGGCTGAGGGCATGTAAGCAAATCGGACGTCCGCTTCAAGGTTGTTGAGCCAAAAGATTCCCCGCTGGGGCATCCACACACGCGGCGTCGAGTCACCCTTCTCCAACCCATGGGATGCGAGGCGCCGCCGTGCGCTTTCAGTGACCGACTTCATCGCCTGATTTAACACATCCTTGTGGACCAAGGCAAACCCATCGTCGTTGGCGGTAGGAACGCGGTAACTGGTGAGGACCCGTCGCAGGCCTTGGAACAGTTCCTCGTCTGCCTCCAGCTTTTCAAGCAGCGAAAAGAGATTGAGATCCGCGTTTGAGACATGACGACCATTGAGGAAAACCTGCGGTGCGCCTGGGCGCAGCACGCCCGCAAAGTCTAACAGTTCCTTGTGCATAACTTTGCTCATATTATTGTTCACCGAAGCGCCCATTTTGGAAAGCTTGGAGGCGTGAAGGGGAAAATTTGTCAGTATATTCATCAACACCCCCAGCCGCTTCTCATTCTCCGCGTCCATCACCCGCTGCGCGGCGGCAATGCCCATGTACTGGGTTTCCCACACCTGAAAGTCCACCCGAACCTCATCGCGGTCTATCGCGTCGGCGAGATGGCCCGCAAACGTGGTCAGCTGAGGCCTGAGCTGCGGATATCGTTGCGCCAGCATGTCCAGATTGAACCCGCCAACAGCCCCAAGGCTTTCGGGTCCTTTTGTGGCTTCCGCAACGCCGGCATCCGTCTGAGTTCCGTCGGTATTCTTTTCATTGATGACCTTGTACTCCACGTTCTTCAGGTCGACTGTCACGCCGTAGCCCTGCACGTGGAGGGCGTTCTCCCACATCCGTCCCACCACGGGCAGGTGCCGAAAGGCCAGGCGAAGCGTGCGTAAGTGACGCTCCGCGACCTGAAAGAGCCGCATCGTCTGCTCTTCCCCGACAATGCCGTACAGGATGACAACGCGGCCTCCCGCTGACCCAGGATGAACATGGTCGAGCCCGGCAAACAGCGAGAACGCCTCTTCCTCTTTGCCTTCGTGTGCTTCATCCGCAGAAGCAGGACCCGACAATATTTCCTCAAGAAAATATTCGCTGCACACAACTTTTCCCGCAACGAGCACGAAGGGGCGCCCGCCTTCCGTGGAACATCCACCAGCAAGTTCCCTCGCCGTCCGCGCCAGCTGCCAGTGCGCCTGAACGGCAGGAGAGTAAAACCGGGCGGCAAGCTTCATTTTTGCCAATTCCATCTGAACGGGAGGCCAATTGGCCTTCGCCATCATTTCCAGCAGGACATCGTATTGGGCTTTTTGCGTCAGACTTTGGGCCCCACCGGTGCTGTTCACGGCTTGAACGCGATGCCACGCTTCCTGCAGACAGTGGTAGAAACCGCCAAGGAGAGCACCGCGTGCCGCCACCATCTCACATCCTTCCTGCAGCAGCGGTGTCTCTGTCCATGGCGCCGTTACAGTGACCTTCACGCCTTTGCCCTCCACCGTTGGCGTCCCCACTAGAACCGAGCTCCCACCAAGCAGAAGCAGCACCGTGAGCGTTGCGGCCAATCGCCTTCTGCTTTCCCCCCAATCCGTCTGGCGGGCCATGTTAAGCTTAAGAAGAAGGATTTCTGATCTCTGTAATTATGAAAATCTTTTGCCACAGAAAAGCGGTTGTGGCGCACAATGGCGGAGAAGTGGCAGACCAAACAAAGCAAAGATAAAAAAAAAAAGGTGGAAAGGAAGAGAGGATGGGGCACGGAAGCCAAATCTGTTACTCACGGGTCAAGTGCACCTCCCTTCGGAGCAAATCAGTCCATCTTGCAAAAACACCCACGCACTCAGGCACCGTCATGGAGGCACGTACACCAAAGCCGTCTTATTCTCCCACTCCACCGCCCCGCTTTTCCTTTCAGTGTTTCTTCCCCACAACAACAACAAAAAAAAACGCTCACACACGCACAATTCTCTGTTTCCGAGCAGGTGGGCGCGGTGTCGCGCCCCAACATTGTCATCAGGCAGAACGAAAAAGTTGTGATACCAGACGCGCGGCGCCAAAAACAACCCCCACCGCTGACAGGTTGCACGCAATTACCTTCAGCGCCTTCACCTTGCTTGCGTAGCCGCCGTAGAACACCTCTGACTGCGCCGCGCTCACCAGCACACCGCCCATTGTCAAGGTGCAGAGCATCACCTCCTGAATTCGCGAGGCGCATAGGCGCCGCGCCAGTAGTGGAGCAAGTGGCAGCAAACATCCCATCGTGTAGCCAACTGCGGCAGGAACGGCGGCATCCACCACAGCCTCCCTGGGACATGGTGGCTCCAGCCGAGAGTAGCCGAGCTCTTCTACCATCATGAGGTTTGCAAAGGGCGTTCTGTGCTTTGCAAAGACGCGTGTGATCATGAGAGCATCGTCCTCAGAAAACCCCTGGGACTTGTAAATTGCCACCATCTCTTGAATCTCCCCTGTAAGGTGGTTCTCTATCTCCCAAAGCTCACGCTTCAGCTCCACATCGTACACAATGCGTTCAAATGTCAGTGCGAGACAAACGGTGTAAGCCACAGCGCCCCCGCCAGCAATGGCTTGCAGAAGTAATTGACCGGTAATCATCGCCGGTAGACCCGCTCTGCCATCCACGTGCTGCAAACCGCTCGCGGCACCAAGCAGTCCCGCCGAAGTGACAAGGCCAGCAAAGGAAGAAAGGACAAGTGAGCGATTCCGCAGGGCACTGTTCTTCCTGATGTCAACATTGAAGTCCTCAAGCCTCCGATCATGCGACTCGCGTGAGCGGTTGACGTCACCAAAGGCTTGCCGAGCCTCTTTCAGACGCTCAGACTCGGGCATGCAGCCGATCATACCGTTCATCTACAATTTTATGGGGATTCACTCCCTTCCGTTCGCTTCGCTCGTACCCCGAAAACCCCCCTCCCCCCGCCCCGCCAAAATACGTTTAAGTTTACAGTGACACCGATCGACCACTCCCTCCCACCTGGCCGTGAAGGAGACGGGAATTGAAGGAGAAGCAGAGGGGGAAAGATGCCGTCCGTCCGCCCGTCAACGCAGCGACAGAAGCCCCGCAAGGAAAAAAAAAAGAGGCGGACGCGTGGGCGAATAAATGTCTTGACGACAGAGAGAAGGGGTAAAAGGGAAAAAGGAGCGGCGTTTGCCACTCCCATCCCTGGCACCCCCCGCTAACCGTCAACACCTCGATACATGCAAGCACACGTACACTCACACATAGAGAGAGAGAACCAACAAAAAAAAAAAAAAAACAACATTAAAGACACAAGTAAAAGAGAAGGAAAAAAAAACTAGAAGAAAACAAATAAAATAGAATGAATAAATAATAATGACCGTCTTACCGCAGGTCCCCTTCCCCGCACCCTACGCCACGGGGATGTTGCTGCAGCCAGACACCCATCTCATTGAGAGCACTTTCCATCGTCAAAATGGTTTCCTCACTCTCGTCAAAGACGTCAAACTCCAAGCGAAAGGTGCAGAGTGCCTGATACATGGTTTTCCACGCCTCCATCACCTCATCATGGTGGGTGGTAGAAGAAATATTAGAGCTCTGTAATTCCTTCATTCTAGCTATAGTGCCACTCACACCAAGCGGAAACCCACATTGATTGGGCTGCTCACGGAATGCGGCGATTTCCAGCCGAATGAGGAGCTGCTCCCGCACACACTTGTAAACACGCAGGATGTAGTCCAATTCCTCTACAGCACCCCGCACTGCCACCTCCTCACCATACATGCGTAACATGCTTTTCAAACAGTCACGAAGTCGCTCAACGTCAAGATCCAGTAACACCATATGCTCCTTCACCGAGTCGTACGGCTCCCGGATAGGCAGGAAAAGACGCTGCCACAATCGCTGAAGCGTAGCCCTAAATCCATACGGGAGACACTCATCGTAGTACTTCTGCAGTTCTGCCTCCATCCCGGCAGTAGCCTTCACCGGTTTGTATTTCTCTCCAATGGATTCCAAGTATTCTTCGGTGATTGCAGCACAGTCGCATGGCGTGTCGCTCTGCAAATCCTCAAGTTCCAGCAATTCCATCGCAGTAAATGCCCTCGCCGCCTCCGCCGCTTGGCTCAGGTTCCCTTGCTCAAGCGCAATGGCCGTCGAATGAAGCGAATTCCCCCCTAGACTCGTCAAAGAGAAGGGAACACTGCTGTCACCTGCAAAGTGGCCGGCACACCCTGCTGCAGCCGCTTCTCCCGAGGTTCCCGAAGGAACACTCGCAGACGTCTCCGCAGCAGGCGCGTCCGCCACATTCTCATGGCTCGTCGGGGAATAGCATGAGCTCTCCACTTGGATGGCCCCACGCCACCTCACAAATTCATCCGGCTGGAGACATTTAAGCACCATCCCCCGCCCACATGACGGCGACGGCGGGATAATGATTTTCCCCTCGTCTTCTACAAACGTTGCCGACAAACCTTGCAAAGAAACGCGTCGAAACGACTTTGGTGGGGGGTTCTCACGCGCTGCGTAGAAGAGGCCCTCGCCTTTTCTTAGTTCAAACCATCGTCGAGAGTAGTGGCCGAAGTGGTCACCTTTTTTCAAAAGCACGCCCCTCATGGAGGACGTAGAAGCAGTAGCAAATTCACATCCCTTCGGTACTGACGGGAGTGACGACGCCGCGGCACGGCCCGCGTCAGACTCCTCCTGCACGGAGGTAAATGGCGACAGCTTCCTACCAGCAGGAACCTCATCCTCATCCTCATCCTCAGTCTTGGCAGCGTGGGCGGCGGCGGCGGCTGTTTCTACCGAAGCAGCAGATGGGTGTATTACTCTTGCGATAACTTGCATCCACTCCTTTTTATCTGCCGCCGATGCAGCCTTCAGAACCGTCTTGTTGCCTCCACTGCGGGTGATAGAGAAGGCGCTGGCCGCTTTCGCGCTGTCACGAATGACATCATTGGAAGCAATCAGGATGCATGAGAAGGGGACGTCGCGGTCGTCCAGAAGATACAGCGTTCCCCCGGCGGCGTTAGTGCCGGAGGCTCCGCCCGTCCCTGAGTGGAGAAAGGCAGTAAAGCAGGTGAACCGTCCAGATGCCTTTGAGAAGCGCGAAAGACTCCCTTGGTGCAGCGCGCACGCGCTGGAGGGAGGTGCAACTTTGCACTCCACCTCCATTCATGCGAGCCTCTAACGGTTCCCTTGTCCTGTCGGCCAACTTCCTGCGCCGACAAACACGAATATCGAGAGCCAGAGAAAAAGCATAAAAGCAGTGGAGCAGAAGCAAAGAGACGCCAATACAACACATACTTTCTACAATCCATCGCATTTGTAGTACACACCTACGCAGGAACGCGGAGTTCAATATATGCATTCCTTGATTGGATTGATTGATTGTTTTTTCTTTTTCTTTTTTTCCATTCTGACATCCTGTCCCCCCCTCCCCCAGGCGCAATTCCTGGTGCAGGCTTTTGGACTGTGTGCGTTCACAAGGCGGGAAGTAGCGAGTCCCAGTTATTATCATGTATCATAATTTTGCGAATCCCAATTGGAATCTCAACCAGGTCGGGAGTGCCTTGAAACCCATTGTGTTCCACGTGCACGTAGAGGATGGAATCTGGGAGTTGGGTAAGGTCGAGGTGCCCAGTGAAGTTGTTATGGCTGATATCGAGCGTCGTCAGAGTTGGTGGCAGCTCACCAACGTTGATGCCTCCCGACAGTCCATTGTGGGATACATCAAGCAGCCTGAGGGAGCGGGGAAGGCGGCGCACGGGAAGACCACCAACAAGAGCGTTTTCACCGATACTCAAATGTTCCAGAGCTGGCGGTAGCTCCTCCCACGCCACGGACGAGATGCGGTTGCTCGATAAGTCGAGGCTGCGCAGGGGGCCAAAATGGCGGAGTTTCCCGAGACCACCCGTCAAGCCACAGTCTTTTAGGGCCAGCTCTTGAATGCTTTCCGAGGCGGATTTCAGGGCATCGGTTAACGAAGAGACCTCGGCGCCAAGGTGGCAGCCGTTCAACTTAACCGTCTGTAGATGCGATGGCAGCTTCGCAATTCCTTCCTGAATATCCGGGATCTTGGAGTAGCTGAAGTCAATTGTGTGCACGTTACGGGGCAGCAACTTCAAGACGTTCGTGAGCGACATATTCATTGTGCAGTTTTGCATGATCAGCGCGAGTTCACTCCCAGGAAGAGGTGACGGCAAGACGGTGGTGAGGGTATTGCCGCTTAGATCCAACTCCTGCAGCCCACTTTTGGCAGGGAACGAGATGGAGGTCAGACCACAATACCTGCAGACGAACCTCTTAAGGTCGACGCTGTGCTCCACCACAGCGTCGCCCGAGTTGAACGTGACGTTTTCGAATATCAGAGAGGTTATCCCTTGCGGTAGCTCCCCTATCTGAAGTTTCTGATTCAACTTGCTGGCGGTTACCTTTACCAATTGAACAGTGCTTGGTAGCTCGTTGAGATTCAACTTCCCATTCTCCATGCCGCTCACCGTGAGCTCTGTCAGGTCGTACCCCACACACGTAACGATGCTGAGGTCACAGTGGCTGAGGAACCCGCCTGTGTGTCCCACAAGCGCGCCCTTGAGATTCTTTTCCTGGATGCTTTTCTGAAACTCAGTGTCCTCTATGGCGCGACGGAGGGATTGCAAGACGCCAAGCCACTGCTTGATATTTTTTCCGCCGTTTCTTTATTTGCGCTTGGCTTCCCCCATGCAAAGTCCAGGGCCCCCTCAACTCCGCCAGGAACACAGCAGAGGAGGGCCAGCGCAACAGCATACACGGCAACGGCCACAGCCATTGTGTGTTGGCTGTTGTTGTGAGGGAGAGGGCCTGTGAGAGGCCAGAGAAAGTAAGAACTACAAAAAAAAGAAACACTTCTCCCCCTCACGCACAAAAACATCCACATAGAAGCGAGAGCAAGAGAAGTAAAAAGAGTCTCATTGGCATTCTACAGGCATCGACCAGACGCGGCGCAGCACCATCCCTGGCAGCTTCCATCTCCCTCACAGGATCCCCCTCTCTGACTGTGCGACAGATGCACTTGGGCGAAGAGTGGGAGAGGCAAATGGGAGCCGCAACGAGAAGACAAAAAAAAACAACAACCAACAACGACAAAAGGCATAAAAGGAAGTGTAAATCCAAAAAAAGGAACAAATGTGAATGCCCCTACAATTTTCCATTATATATTTCTTCCCTCCCCACCTCTTTTTTTCTCCCCCCTTTCCCCCTCCCCCTCTTCGTGCCGAGTTCAGCTCATCTCCTAAATTTTGCCTAGAATGGCGCTGTGAAGCATGTTCCATGCGCTTTCACGGACGGTCTGGAAGAGCGTCACGACGTCAAGCGTCGAGGTGAAGCCATCCGCGAGACCGAAGAAGAGCATGGAGGGAATGTTGCCCCGTGCATACTCCAAGGCCCAGCAGGCATTCGGCATCCGATACTGCTTCGCCGTGTGCCGGGGGAGGTAGTGCTGGTCGCCTGGCTTGTAGACCTCCGCCTCTGCCACGCGTGGCAACGACGCCCACTGCTCGCCGTAGAGAATTGTAAAAAAGTCCTCCGCCCAGTGATAGCGACCGGTGTGGCCCTCCGTGCCGAGGGAGGTGCCGAAGATGATGAGATACTCCGAGAAGGAGGAGTGCAGCACCGTCATGGAGCCCATCGCTCCACCGGCGTTGTTCCACAGCCACCTGCCGGAGTACGAGGTGTGGAGCGGGTACGTCTTTGTGACCTCTTGAATGACACTCTCAACCACTTGCTCCGCCGTGGCGTTAACGCCGTGTTTGGCGTGGGCCACCGCTATGCCACGCTTGGCGACAGTCTGAAGTGTTTTTGGGTCCAGCACCCAATTCTCTGGACGGTCGATCACGAAGGACATGGCAATCGCCACGACTGCGACGACAAGGAAGATGAAGCGCTTCATTTACACTTTCCTCTTCTCCTTAGTTGCTTATTGCTTTCCTCTGGCGGCCGTTCTCTACGCGTCTTCCTTCACTAATGTGCCCGGGCAACGTGACAGCGCTCGCACCTGCTTTACCCCCCGACAGCTGCGGCTGCGACTGCCGATGATGCTCTCAGGGGGCCGGGCGTGGCGCACGGAAGCGGGCGAAGAGGGTCAAGTGGAGAGAACAGCAAGAAGTGGTGGCAGGCGGAGAGGCAGGGGCGGCACCATTCACCCACACGCACAGAAAGAGAGAGAGAGAAGGCACAAATAAACATTTTAAAAAAAGGGGGGCGAGTAGAAAAATAGCGTGACCGCAGGCGATGAAATCGCCAAAACAAGCAAAACCAAAAAAAAGAAAACGAATAAACTGCCTACGCGTCGCACACTAGGAGGGAATCAGCAGGCAATCGGCGTGCTGGAAAGGGGGTGCCCCCTTCGACTTTCACGCACGCATCAAGTCGGAAGGTTCCACTGGCGCAGACAAAAGTCAGCCCCGCCCGAAAGCAGCGTCCCATCCACCGTCCACGCCACGGCCGACACACCGCCGCAATGCGCCGCGTCCTCTGTTTTGCGCGTCCTCTTGTCGAGGTCCCACACGATAAGCGAGGCGTCCATGCTGCCGGAAAGGAGCCGTGCGCTGCTGTGGGGCGCGAAGGCCAGTGACGTCACACGCAGGGTGTGAAACACCAGGTCCCGATAAAGCACACTGCCATCAACGGGCGACCAGACAAAAATGTTTCTCGTGGCATCCCCCGAGGCAACACGCTGTCCGTCCTTTGCGAAGGCCACGCAGGCAACCACACCTGCATGGTGCCCAGCAAACTGCACGCCCGCCTCCGGCGATTCACCTGCCTTGACCCGATATCCCTTCACCAAAGCATCACCGCCCAGCACGACCATGTCACCGTGGGACGCCGCGCTGGTGCCGTCAAACTTGTCCAGTTTCTCCTCCGCAACCTTGCGCCCAGATGCATCAAGAACAACAAATCCATTTTTTGACAGCAGCACCGCATGTTTATCTTCCGTGATGGCCAGTGCGGTAACGTTCGCCGCTTCTCTTGAGAGAAGGGTCGGTTCGGTGTCGGGCAAGGCACAGCGCAGCAGGTCGGCACCAGACACCAGATACAAATAGTCCCCACAACAGGCCGCGGCAGTGATGACATTAGAAGCGATAGCTACTTTGCGCGCGTTTGAGAGAGAATTATTGGTATTTCTCCACATCAGAGCCCGATCAACGCCGACAGAAACTATGGTTCCATTCGAAAGCAAATGCAAAAGCAGTATGCGTCCCTGGTGGCCCAATAACGCACCTTTGATCTTCCCGTCTTCGCCAATTAATGCCAGTTCGCCACCAAGGGATATCGAGAATACACCCTGTGGGGTATACGCTACTCCCTGTTGCATACTCATGACATCGGCTCCAAAGACGCAAGAGCTTATCATCACGCCAGTGGCGACGTCAAAAATTTTGACGCTCTTGTCAGCACTGGCTGTAGCAAGTTTACTTCCGTCCGGGCTCCATGCAACAGAGTAGATTGTACCCGTGTGCCCCGTTGCAATAGATCCCTTTAGTTCTGCCGTCTTACCATCAAGAAGGACGATCTCAGGCGACCTCGAAACTGTTGCGATCGTCTCCATGTCCGGACTGTACCGCACACAGGTCACCTTGTCCTTATGACCCTGCACATTGCACTTGAACTTAAAGGGGACACCTTCATAAAACCCCACAAGGGCGTCGGCGCCTCCTGTCACAATGCGGTAGGGACGTTCTCCACGCATGTCACAAGAGACAATGTTTTGCGTGTGACCGTTGATGGTCCCAATCGTGTTACCTGTGAGGCTGAGTACGGTCGCAAAGTGGCTTTTCCCATCGCCCACCAGCACCACCCTCTCCTCGTCGTGCGTCCACGCAATGTCCCGCACGGGGCCTTGCAGCTGCTTCGTGTTCAGCACCTCCCGGGAGTCGGGCTGGCGGGCCCACACCAGAACGTTTCCGTTCTGGTCCCCAGATGCCACCAACTTCCCAGACGGGCTGATTCGCACCGCCGTAACCGGGGACGTGTGTCTCCCGCCGAGGATCACAGCCCCCGGCTCACGCACTTCGCGAACCACCACACGGTTTCCGCTGCCGTACGCAAGGGCGTCACCAAAGGCAGAGAGAGGGGTGGGAACCGCCCGTGTGGTGGAGGGGGCACTCGGCAGGGTGCTCTGCAGCAGCAGCTGCTGCAGAGACATCGCTGAGTCTTGCAGATGTTACACCTCCTTGGCCACGCGGGGCGAAACTGCGGAGAGAAAAAGGAAAAGAAAAAGAAAAAGAAAGAGGGCATCCAGCCACCACCTGGTTTCTTTGCGCTCTCCAGCGCTCACGCCCTAACAAGCTCGCTAGTTTCTTCACAGAGTTCATCAGTACTCACGTGGCGCCACGCCGGCGTGAGCACCCCACAGCTGGGAAAAAACCGCCCTTCCGCGCAATGGAGGCGGCCACGCCTCCACAGTTCTGCCGCACAGGCACCTCCGCGCCCAAATAAGCACTTAAAAACAATATATACAAGAAACAAAAAAAACTCTTAAGATTCGTCCCATGTGCTTCGCATCTCCTTTCCCTATCCAAAAGAGGCGTCTTCGCCCATTTTCTGGGGAGGGCACCGTCGCGCTTCACCGCCGCCGCACCCTCACGTTCCATAATCCGGCACGCAGTTAGTAAAATGCTGGTCGTACCCATCGTTCAAAGCGTGTTAGGTTAGGTAGGCAGAAATCTCCTCTTCCTTCCGTTAAGGAATGGAAAAGAAGAATAATTGTTGTCCTCACAAGGCTGAGTGTGTGGATTTATGAACACATTCAGCAATGGGAAATGGAAAAACAAACAAACAAACAAACAAACAAACAAAAAAACAAAAAGGTGAAGAGAAGAAAATAAGAGCACTACAAACAAAAAAAGAAGAAGAAGAAAATAGTGAAATAGTGAAGTAACAAGAAAGATGGGGCAGCGACGAAGGCCTCTTACCTCGACACACCACAGATTCAAGTGCACTTGTGGTACAAAGGCGCCGTAAGCGAAGGCCCTGGCGGTGGAGAAAAAAAAAAAAAGTAATCCACCAAGGCAATTCAAAAAAAAAAAAAAAAAAAACTCAACAAAAAGTTGTCGCATCTCCTCATTTTTTAATTGCTCAATAAATCGTTTCTTTTTTTTTTTTCAGGGGGCAAAAATAAATGTAAAGTTATATATATATATATGTTGCCACTAAGTAAGCGTGTTGGAAGGCTTCACTGGGGCGGCAGGCGGCAGAGCGCACACATGCAGAGAAGTAAAAGCAAATACAAGCGGCAGGTGTGCGCCCCAGCAACGAGGGAAGAAAGAAAGCGCAGAAATACATCAGCAACAACAACATGTTGTGCCACAAACAAGACCAAACACACATGAAGAAGGAAAGGAAAAAAAAACGCATCTTGTTAATAGAAAAAAAAATGGATGAAACATACATATCTTCTTCCACATAGGCAAGACGAACAGCATCACTTTGCAAAATGTAAAAATAAAGAAAGAGAGAGATGGAAATAGAAAGAGCAAACATGAAAAAGACGATTAAATCCATACAAGACTACAGGCTGTACTACACAGAATACCAAAGATCAAAAAAAAAAAAAGGAGGGCAACGAAAAATTGCTTTTTCTTTTTTTTTCTTATTCTTTACCTTCCCTCAGCCTTCCACACTGTGGCGCAAATGCAACGATGTGCAGACTCGAGTTAGTTGCTCGGACGAGGCATTGATATTTTCGCTTTACGTATTAGCCTGCACCCTTTTGCTTCACTTTTCCGCTTCCTCTGGATGGGACTGCTTCATCAAGAGAGAGAGAGAGAGAGAGAGAGAGAGAGAGAGAGAGAGAGAGAGAGAGAG